CATATGCATAGAGTTGCACAACTCCCATTATATCACTTTGTCACTGCGTCTTGCCTACCTAAATTCGCCCCATAGATTCAACTGTATACAATATAATGTTCACTTGTGGTGCTAAACTGTTGTTCTCTGATAAACAGCTGCTGCATTCCACCCCAGAGAGAGTTGCTTTTCCATGGTGAGGGAAGTGATATTTGTAAACGTAGCTGGTAAAGTGCATTGGGATCCTTCCAAACAAAATGTGACATATAAATATAAGACAATAATTAATAATTACTTCTAACTTAAGTAATAATCACCTTGTATTCACACACAGCCCCATGAGACCTATCTTTCTTTGCTATATATTGCAGCATGAGAGTTTGAAAACAAGGCTTTATTATGGAAACTGTTTAGCAACTGTAACTGTAGCAGTAGCTGCCAGTTCCATTGTAATGAAATAACATACAAAGGATAGTATTTTCAAGTTTTGAGAAACCTTACACGTAAAACTGGGTGACACAATGTGAATTTTCCTCCACAAAGCTCATTGTAGGACTTTGGCTTTAATTTGTGACCCTGGGGATATTTTAGCCAGGCAAATGATGTGACAAAATAAAACTCCGTAAGTGTCGTGTTTAAATAAAACCAATGGAGAGAAGTAGTCAAATAAACCTCTGTCCCACTATCCATTCTGGCACTATTTCTGACTCATTCCATAGCTCTTTGTTCTTCCCAAATCCTTGTTTCACTCTATAGTTGCCCTACTTCAAACATGTATAGGTCCCATAACCTTTTAGGGGTATCGAGTGCAAGTCACTTGACCCACATATACTGCCTGAGAGTGGCATTTTGATTGTTCCTCTGCTATAACTCCATTTGCTGAGCTGCTGCAATGCATTGGAATCAATGAAATTTGAGGATGTTTGTGGTACTTGGCACGTGGTACTTGGCCAGATCTTGTAATTACTTCCAGGTTGGCACAACAACCAAGTTGTTCTGTCACTTGTCACTGTATCTTCCTTGTATAGACTATCTGTGAAGAATAGTATTGCCTGTATGTTGGAATCATCCCCATATATCCATGTCCTAGTGCTGGTCCATTCATGCATAGATGCCCATATACATTAATCCAAAGATTAATTTAAGCTGATGCTAAAACTCTCAATCAGAATGTGTTAAATTTCTGCCTATCTGTTGCAGATCACAGAAGGGGAGGGGTTGATATTCTCTGCTTTTAAGATAGATGGTTGACTTGTCCTTCACAGGAGGAGAAAAAATTTCCAATCATTTTGCACCACTGGAGTCTGGCTTAAGCTGCTGGAAGATAAATGCCATTGGAAGAAAGCAGATATGATACTTTCCAGTGTAGACAGACATCCCTGCTAAAACTGGGGACTAAAATGTGCAAAACACAAATCTAAAAATGGCATATCTGGAGAGTTTATCTACCTTTAAATTACTGTCACTGTTAAATTAGCAGGTGCACTGCTTTGCACATCTGATGAATATTTTCCCCCATTCTCTTTACACAGTGAAATCACTGTGTCACAAGAGCTTTGAAGTATATAATTACTTACTTATTTTCTTCCCACTGAGTTTTAGCATACCTCTCTCTTATCCAGAAATGTTCCCACTCATGATTTTATTTTAATAGCTCCATAAAGTTTTTGGGGTCAAAGCAGAACAATTGTCACCAGGAAAGTAAAACAGAGAACCCAGCTCTAGAGCTCCAGTCCTTCTACTGTACAGAGAACCCTGTACATATTGGGAGGCTGAGCATAGAGCACTGGTCTGGGGTTCAGGAAACAGTTCTGTCTGGGCCTTCTGGGTGACCTTGCACAAGTCACTTCAGCCTGTATCCCCTCTGTCAAATGGGGAGCCTCGCCTCTGTAAAGTGCTTTTCAGAGTTGCTGATGAAAAGTGCAATGTAAGAGTTTGGTAATATTCTTATAGCAGTTACTAAGGACAAGCATTGTATTATTGTGACCGAATGCAGCCCCATATTCACGCCATACAAACTATTGTAATAACCTTAGTACAAAATATGTCTTGTGAGGTACCATTTGAAAACTGATAACTCACTAGTCAATAATAGTATGATGGAGTGTGTAGCAGCATTATATGTAAAGTTATAAATTCCCTTTAAATGATGATGGTAGCACATGTTCAAACCCATGTAGCCCAATTAGGCATGAGGGGTCAAGCAGGTCTTAAAGGAGTGCATGTTTACCTCAGTTTACATGTAAGTTGTAAACAGGGTCCTCAGACAGGGAGAAAGGGAAGATGGGTGACAAGGAAAATCTTCATTTTTTAGCAAACAAAGGTAAGAAGAAACAGCATGTAATTTCTTTCACCGCCAGACACCATGCCATTTTCTTTTACTGTTTGAATAAACTTGGGTTTGAGTGGTAACTTTCAGGAAAATTCATCTCCAAGAGGGACTGGACTATAAAAGTGAGAGGCAAAAACACCCCGAGATCTCTCTTTTCACCCAAAAAGACAAAAACAGCTGTTGGACTTTGGGAGCTGACCCTGGCCTGAGAGTTTGGTCAGCAATGTTACTGGAAACACGTGGTAAAGGACTTCCCCTTGAACCAAGTCTAGTTGGTTAAGCCCAGAAACTGTTTTATCTTTATTTCTCTTGTAACTATTTCTGACTTTGTCTTAGACTGCAAGTGAGTACAAGCATATCTCTTTTATAGTTAAATACACTTGTTTTAGTCTTTAATTAAAACTATTGCAGCATTGTAAATTGTTTGGGTAACTTTATTTCAGGTAACAGGCTGTTGTACACCGACCCGCTTAGTGAGGCAATGGACCTCACATATCTGGACTCTCTAGGAGAGGGCTGGACAGGGCAAAATGAGGAAAATCTGGGACTGGGAGTGTGTTGAGGTCACCCTGCAAGTAGTGCCAAGGCTGCTGGGGCCAGAGCTGCTGGAGCAGGGCTGTGGCTATACACTTACACTCAGGGTATGACCTTCATGCTGTTTGTCTGTGTGTGAGCAGCCCAGGTGGGAGATACAGTAGCAAAGCATTGTGAGGCACCCCAGGTTGCAGGGCAAGCATGATACAGTCCCTCACTGATCTGGTTTGTACCCCAACATGTCATAATTGCAGACAGGAGAAAATTGTGGACTATTGGGACAGTTGCCTAGAAAGTTCAAAGATGTCTCTCGATTAATTCTTGTGGGTCAACATTTTCTTTGTGCTCCTCTTCATCATCCTTCCTTCCAGCCACTTATAGTTACACTTTGGCAAGGTGCAATGACACCACATACACAGTATTCTCCTGCTCCTAAATGGGAGGATATGTTTAGCTCTAAGATCAAGGCCTCTCCACATAGTGCTTTCTGTCATGCAACAGAAAGACACAAACTGGATCTACTTTTGTGTGACCCTTTTCAGTCTTCACAGTTCTAAAGAATCTAGGTCTTATAGCTTCTTTTAAATCCAAGTCTTCCACCGTGCACCGTTGCTTAGATACAGAGGACAGTTAGAAATATTCTGAATAAAAGAAAATGGTGTGTCTTTTTCCAACTAGGTTCTCTGACCAAAGAAAAGAGAAAAAATCAGTATGAAATTAAGTTTGTTGTTTCTTTAGACACATGCACATTCAGTCTACCTAACTTTGCAACCTGGCTTTCAATTTAAGAAGTTTCTTTCTTTGATAGCAGATGAAGTCCTTAGTATGAGTGCATGGACAAAGACACCAATGATTACAAAATTGTCTGAGAGATTTTGTCAGCTGAAAAGCATGGAATACTCTTTAGAGAGCATATAACTGAATGTAAGGAAGATTTTTAAGAAGCCCATGCTCTTTAATTTACTGAGGAGGGGGTTATCTATAAGGACCCAATTCTGAGGGGTCTTTAGAATCCTTGAACACAAGCCATGCAGGGTATGGCCTTACATGGCAAATTAATCTGACCACTATTACAGCCGTATTCCTGTGAACCACTTTTTAAACAGAGAATTAATTCAGTTTCCAAAAGCGCCTATGCAGCAGGTCTGTGTAACAATTTGTAATGTAGAGTATATAAATTTCAGTTAATTAATTGAAATTAATTTAACATATTGATGTGCAGGGTATTTGAAAGCTTCTGTGATTTTGATTATTTTGGTTTCTTTGCTTTGGAGGAGCTTGACCTTTCTACAGAGAAATGTACCAGAGCAAACACAGAAGGTACTGTGGCACTGATTAAAGATTAGGTGTCCACCTTAATTTGAATCACTGGATTTTTTTCTAGTTTATGTCAACTTTAATGATAAAAATACATATATGGCTTGTTCTCACTTACCCTATGTTACTTGCGGATGTCTTTTCCTGTTTGTTAATTAGGTGTCAGGATTTCAGTCATTAATGTAAATCATTAATATGTTATGAATAAATGCTGTACATGTGTACAAGGGCACTTAATTGAATAATTCAAGCACTAACTGAAGCACCAAGTGCCTTAGAGTGGATAGGCAAGAGCTTCATTTTTTAAAAAAAAATATTGATTGACATTGTGGACTATAATATCAATGACAATTTTACAACAATAATAGTGACTTGTGACAATAGAATGAAAGATGGTCACTTGGTTTCATCATTATTCAACAGAATTCAATGGATTTGATCTGTGTTTCAGTTGTGTACCAGTCTCTCTGTTAGCTCATCACTCAACTGGATGAGATTGATGTAACAGAGGGGATTTGATGGCCTTGGGAACCTCTGTTGCTAAATGATGACCAAAGCAAATCCCTGCAACCTAACTCCTATTCTTTTCAGTGGGAGTGAAATTGCACCTAAACGTGGTAAAGGATGGAGGTATGGGGTGGAAAGAAAAATATTACAAGTGTGCATGCAACACTGAGAAAGAGTAAATGTTTAGGGTTTACTTGGTCCTGCCACAGCACAGGCCACTGGACTTGATGACTTCTCAAGATCCCTTCTAAGCCTACATTTCTATGATCCAATCATTCTATAAGGAGCTGTAACCAATATGTGAAGAAACTATGTTTCTCTGCTTTCTCAGCAGGTTACTGTGTTTTGGATCTCAATGGAAGAAATGTATCTGAGGCTGAAACCTGGACAAAATGGAGATAACTGTGGAAGAAGGGGTCCATGCAGAGGGACAGAGGAAGATTATGCCTGCATATTTCACTGGGCATGTAATTCTGCCTTTTTTCCCAAAAGGTAAGCAGTACCAATGTTTTACTGTTTACTTCCATTTTCTAGAACCCTGGGCTGCAGTGGTGGTTTGAATTTGTTTTTTTTTTTTTTTTCCCTCACCTGACATGGCTGATGAAAGGTTATGATTATTCCTTGTGGCTCATGAACTTCATCGTAGTAGTCAACTTTTTCACCTCTGGTTTATATTACTTTAATGAGAACTCCCTGGGGATGCCATGGATGAGCTTCCAGAAGCTCCAGCTAGCAGAATGTGCCTTCCACTCCTTGAATAGGATGGATGACCATGAGTCCATGTGGAACATTGCACTAGTGACATATCCAGTTCCAGTTGCATATTAAGGTCTTAGCTTCAAAACCCTATATGTTGGAGGACCCTTTCAGTTAAGAGATTGCTGTCCTCTTTATGCCTCATTTTGAAATAATCTGCTGGGGAGTCTCGGCTCTCTGTGTGTGATAAAATACTTGATTTTGTGAGCTCTCAATGGGGCATAGTTGTTCCAAGAGATCTGGGATTTTTCAAGCCTCAGATCATTCGGCAAAGTTATAGAAGGCAATAAAAAAGTTTTCATTACAAACCTGTCTCGAAGTTCCAAAGTCAGAGATGAATAGAATTTAATTAGTTTGTGACACTTTTCTGTTTTCCTGTAACTCAAACTTGACAACATGCAGGCCCTTCGCCCACAGTTTGAATTGGGTCTTCTTTATTTTACAATATTTAAACTAGGCATATATCCTGATCTTTGTTACTCTGTGAAACCTGATAACATGTCATTGTGAGTCTACCTGCTTTCTTTTCACACTTGTAAATTAGACATGGAATTATTTCATTATAATTCTATTAGTCTATTTATTTTACAGTCAGTCATGAAAAAGCTCAGAGAACCACTTTTAGAACAAGCCGTAACAATACATTATAATGTGTGACAGGGTCAGGCCAGATGGCTACAAGAGAGTGCTTTTTTTGAAGCAGAAAAGAATTTTATTTGTGTAACACTTACAAAGAATCACCAAAAAGGATAAAGCAAAACTATGCAACAAAACAAAGGCAAACACAAGGTATAACACAGCAGCCTTCAGGAGGGAGAAGTGTTCAGGCTAGCCTGGGCCCAGAGCGGGGGGTCTTCCTCGACACTTGTGGTCTTCCACCCTCCTGAGTTACCTGGTGGCCTAGAGTGGGGGTGGCTTCCTCGACACTCATGGTCTTCCACCCCCTCGAGTTACCTAGTGCCACGCCCAGTGTCACCAATTATTCCTCTCCTGAGAGTGCCCGACAAGATGGGCACGGCTGCGGGGTGGGCGGTTTGGGGGTGGGGAGGGATGTACACCACGTGTGATAGGTGACAGTAATGATGGTATCCACAGCAGCAACGGCTGGGGCTGGGGTCTCTCGCTCTTCCCCTCAATCAAAGGGTCAGACGGAGGGAACTGGATGGGGTCACTGAGCAGAGAACCTCGGACAGCACCCACCGCTCCTCGAAGGCGTCAAGGAAGTCGGTGGACGCCACACAGAGGAACTCCGCCCGGATACGTGAATGTACTGAGGATCGGAAAACGGCCCTACAATCGCAGGACGCTTCATTAGCCAACCTCCTCTCTCTGGTTTTATAAATGGCTGTTTTAGCTAGGGCTAGGAGGAGGTTAACCAGGAGATCTCGCGATTTTGTGGGGCCACGGATGGGGAGTGTGTAAATAAAAAGGTGAGGGGAAAAGTGTAGCCAAAAGCATAATAAAATATTCGTGAGGAGCCGGAAAAGGGGCCGCAGCCTGGCACACTCTAAATATACGTGCACCAGGGTTTCCCTCACATTGCAAAAAAGGGCAAATATCCGGGACGGGGGTGAACCATGTCAAAAACACGCCCGTGCTCACAGCTCTGTGAAGGAGCCGCCGACTAATGTCTCCAACGGGCCTCGGGAGCAAGGTGGAATACAGGCTGGCCCACCGGGGTTGCTCACCCTCTAAAGGTGGCAGGAAGTCCCGCCACTTTGTATCGGGGCAGGACAGCAGAGTGTGGGTGTAAAGGGTGTGAAGCGTGAGTGTGTATAGATATTTCCATGGCGCGATTTGGAAGCTGACCAGCTGCAGTTCATGCAGCCGGCTCGCAGTGAAAGGGTGAGGGGTTTGTTGAGATCTACGGGGTAGGGGCCCAATTGAAAGATCCGGTGGGCCTGGGGTAGAGGGTGGGCAGGGTGCGCCCTCGCGTAGGGCTCGGTTGAGATAAGCCTGAGCAGCGGGCGTCAAGGCGGCCTTCACCTCCTGAAGTACGCGCCGGGGAGTACGAGGTCTGGAGAGCCCCATGCACCGAGCGAGCGTCACAGGATCCAGCCAGTCTCCCCGGTTGTAGTCCAGGAGGTCTCCAACTCTCGTGATTTCCGCCAGGACCAAACTCTGGTGCACCGAGAGGGACTCTGCCGCCTGCACACGGAGCTGGGGGTTGTGTAGCAGGGGCTCCACGAGGAGATCTGCTCCCACGGTGGCCGCCACGGACCTGGCCATTGAAAACCATTTCCAGGTCCGGAGGAGGTCCTGGTAGAAGACCGGCAGCCTGGAGAGGTCTCGCGGAAAACCTCTCGGACAAAGATAAAAGAGCTGCCGGTCGTATCGGAGCCCTTGGAAGCTCCATGTTGAACTACCTGCACTATAAAGTAGTCTCCGCAGGGCCTGGAGGTGGAAGACACAGACCTGAGTATGCAGACAGTTCAGGCCCTGCCCTCCTTCCTTCAGGGGTAGATGAAGAACCCCAACAGGCGCCCAGTGCGTTCCTGACCAAAAGAACTCTAGAATCGATGTCCGGAGGTTGGTCAGGAAACCCGGGGCCGGGACCAGGGTGTTGAGCCGGTACCAGAGCGTGGACAGGACTAGTTTGTTAAGCACCAGTGCTCTCCCTCGGAGGGAGAGACATCGGACTGGCCTCGTCCATTTCCGCTCTATCACCCCGCCCTCTAAATTTTGCCAGTTCTTCGGCGGGGAAGGGTGCGTGGGGGAAAGGTAAACGCCGAGATAGAGCAGTGGACCTGCACTCCACCGGATGGTCTGAAGTGTGGGTGGGAGGGAGCCTACCTGCTGCCAGTCCCCCACCACCAAGCCAGAGCTCTTGACCCAGTTGACTCGGGCGGAGGAGGCTGCCGAATAGATGGCCTGGCATGCCTCCACTCGCGCCAAGTCGCCCGGGTCCTGGACCACGAGGAATACATCATCGGCGTATGCCGACAGGACCAGCCACAGCTCTGGCTCCCGCAGCACCAACCCTGTCATCCTCCTGCGGAGGAGACAGAGGAAAGGCTCGATCACCAGAGCGTACAACTGGCCCGAGAGGGGGCACCCCTGCCGCACTCCTCGCCCGAAGCTGACTGGTTCAGTCAGGGTCCAGTTGAGCCTAACCAAACACTCCGCGGAGGCATACAGCACCCGGAGAAAACTCACAAACTGAGGTCCGAAACCAAACGCCTGCAGAATGCTCAGGAGGTACCCATGGTCTACTCTATCGAACGCCTTCTCCTGATCAAGAGACAGGAGGGCGAACGACAGACCATCTCTCTGCCCGAGTTCCAGAAGGTCTCGGACTAGAAAGAGGTTGTCAAAAATGCTGCGACCCGGGACAGTATAGGTCTGGTCTGGGTGGATCACGTCTGCCATCATGGACCCTAGCCGCAGCGAGATTGCTTTCGCTACGATTTTGTAATCCGTGCTAAGGAGTGAGACGGGACACCAGTTTCGTAGATCGCGGAGGTCCCCCTTCTGCGGCAGCAAAGCGAGCACCGCTCGCCTGCACGACAGAGGGAGGACCCCGCTCTGCAAGGACTCAGCGCAGACGGTGACTAGGTCTGGGCTGAGAATGTCCCAGAACGTGCGGTAAAACTCCACAGTCAGCCCGTCCATGCCCGGAGATTTATTGGTGGGCATGCGACGGAGGGCTTCCAAGAACTCGGCCAGGGTGAGAGGCAGCTCTAGTCGGTCTCGGTCGCCCACGCCAACCGTGGGGAGTTCCTCCCAGAGCACCCCGCAAGCGCCAGGATCGGTTGGATCTGGGGAGAAAAGGCTTGTGTAGAAGTCACGGGCCCTCCCACACATCTCCTCCGGATCCATGAGGGGGGTGCCGTCTTCCGCAAGAAGGCAGGTGATGTGTTTCTTGGCCCCCCTCGTTTTCTCCAGGGCATAGAAGAAGTGGGAGCCGCAGTCCATCTCCTGAAGGAGGCGGATGCGGGACCGAACGAAGGCACCTCGGGCCCCGTGGTCCTCAAGGGCCCGGCGCTCCTCCCGCTTCTCCCGGCACGCTCCGCAGAGGGACGGGTCCTCGGGATCGGCGGCCAGGCGCCTCTCCATCTCTAAGACCTCCCGTTCCAACTGCTCTATCGCCGCATTTCGCCGTTGGCTGGTGCCCCGAGTGTAGTCACGACAGAAGAGCTTGGCACACACCTTCCCGAGATCCCACCATCGCCGCACCGAGGGAAAGGCATGCCACTGCTCTCGCCAGGCCAGCCAAAACTCCCGGAAGGACATCACAAAGCTCTCATCCTCCAACAGGCTGTTATTAAGGTTCCAATAGGCCGGCCCCGGTCTCTCTGCACGGAGGGAGACCGTTACGGTGACTAAATGATGATCGGAGAATGGGGCCGGCCGAATGGAGGAGGAGTGGGCCTGTGAAAGATGGAAACGGGATAAGTAAATACGGTCCAACCGAGAGTGGTGTGACCGATGGGCCTCCACCCAGACAAAGGTGAACGTGGAGGTGTCATCTGGGTGATGGTCATGCCAGACGTCCACTAGGGAGTGATGTTCAACTATCCCTTGGAGAATATTCGCGGCGGCCGGGCTCGGTTCAGCCCCTGAGCGGTCCCGTTCCTCGAGGGTGGTGTTAAAGTCCCCTCCCAGGACCAGGCACTCATGCGAATCCAGGGTGCCGAGAAAGTCGGACACCCGCTGATAAAATTGTGGCCACCTGGAGCTCATTTGCGGGGCATAGATGTTAACAAGATTGACCATGAGCCCCTCCATACGGACTC